CCATTACGCTAACTGCTGGTCCCAAGCATGGACTTTTTTTTTTTTTTCGCTATAGGACACGTGCACTCTCCAGACAGATAGAGACATAGAGACAGAAAGCGAGAAATCATCCCCCAGAGGGGATGGTCACACCGCAGTCCCTTCTCCATTCTCCTCTCGGGATCTTGGGCACGCACGCACACGTGCCCGGCGTGAGTTTTAAGCCACCGGGTCTGGGACACAAACTGCGGTCTACTACGTGGGAGTTCAGCGACATAGCCATTACGCTAACTGCTGGTTCCCCCAAGCATGGACTTTTTAAACAAGGGTTGTCCAGGGAAGGGTCTGCACTTTGGGATGCCCTTGGTGGAATGCTGACCTATCCTGTCCTGAGCACAGGTGCAGTGTATCAGTGTGTCATGGCGCACTGGGCACCAGGGCCAGAATCCTGAGCGCCAGTCCAGGCCTGAGGGCCACAGACCCAGCCTTAATCTCTGTGCTCCCTCACTGCTGCCTGAGAGACAGCGCAAGGCAGGGGTGTGTGACATGCATACTATGCGGAGGCAACAAGTGACTGCTGGTTGCTGCAGACAGTGCCTTTATGTGGAATTTTCTTTTTATTTCCTCGTAAAGAAAGCATTACATATGCAATACCGAATTTGGAAAACATAAAAAAGTGGAAGAAACAACTTATTTTTCTTTTCAACCACCATCATGTTCATATTTATATTATAGGAGGACAGCCTACTTTTCTGTGGAATAAGTTCTCAGAGTGGGTGCACTAATTCCTGAGAAGGATTGGTTAATTTTGGGAGGGAAATGGCCTGAGGTAGTTCTCAGGATAAATTAGGCTTTGATTTTGTTTTCTTTTTTTTTTTTTTAATTTTTCTGAAATACTATGGAATAGTCTTTGTAAATGTCTATAAAATAGCACCAGTTGCGCTTACAAACAAAAACTTTATATAAAATGCACATTTTGAATTATTATTAGCCCTTCTTTGGATGTCAGTTTTCATCCAAGATCCTGGTGAATTACTTTAGACAGGTCTTGCAAACAGTCAGGTTTCCCGTAAAGGATGTCTCTCTGAGTTGTTTCTCAGTTTTGCGGTAGTGCAGGAAGGGTGGTCGAGCTTCCAGAAGTGAGACTGAGCTTTAACTAGCCTTCTCCCCTTCCTCCCCAGTGTGTTTTACGTCTTCTATGAACAGTACCTGACCATTATCGATGACACGATCTTCAACCTCGGCGTGTCCCTGGGAGCCATATTTTTGGTGACCATGGTCCTCCTGGGCTGTGAGCTGTGGTCTGCGGTCCTCATGTGTGCCACCATTGCCATGATCGTGGTCAACATGTTCGGAGTCATGTGGCTGTGGGGCATCAGTCTGAATGCGGTTTCCTTGGTCAACTTGGTGATGGTGAGTCCTAGGCCACTGTCAGATTGTCTTGGCCCTGAAGTGAATGGTTTCTTGGATTCCATACAGTTTCCACAGTGGGATTTGATAGCAAATCTGGCTTCGCTCTTGATCCACACATAGAGGTGGTGGGGTGAGCACTAGATAGAGTCGAGACAGGGCATGGAGGGGGTGTTGGGACATCTGGAAGCAGAAGCACATTAAAGGTAATTTCCTATTAACTCGGATTTCTTTTCATACCTTAGGGTTATACTTGTATGTTTCATGGTGCATTTGGCAGTGGCAGTGAGTTTCATGGTCTAGCCTGGGTATTTTGCCTAGTTTATTATTCTGAAGGGATTATATTGGGTTGTCAGAAAAGTCATGAGCGTTTTTGCATAGAAAGAATATGTCATGTAGTCTAGAATAGAAGCATGTACTCTAATGACAGCATGAAATTCACTTATTATTTAGAAGATTTTTCCCCTTCCCAGTGGATCTCGTGCCAGTACCTTTTGTCTCCTATGTAGCTGCCAAGTGCTTTTTTAATAGTTAGAATGGGCTTGAGGGTGTGAGCATTCGAGAGGTATTAGTGGGAAGTAGAAGCAGTGCACCTGTACCTACTGCAGGTCAGAACCCTGTCTCAGGGGAGTGGGCCAAGTAAAGCCATGACCATGTGCTGGCCTGATGGGGACAGAATTAAGAGATTTCAGCACCTTCCCCCAGTTAAAGCAAATGTGCTATAAAATCTGGAACATTGGACTCTATGCCTAGAGGATTCCACATGTTTCCTGATACAATTTAGGTCAATGTGTTGGGGGACTTTGTTATTGTAAGTGAAAAGGGATGCTTAGGTTTCCTGTAGCACTCAGAGTACCCTGGTAACATCGAGAAAGGTGTAACTGCTGAAGATTTTCAGCTGGAAGAGCCATTCTAAAGGAAGCCCTTTATTTCAGAGCTGTGGCATTTCCGTGGAGTTCTGCAGCCACATAACGAGAGCATTTGCAGTGAGCACGAAGGGAAGCCGCGTGGCCCGCGCAGAGGAGGCGCTTGCCCACATGGGCAGCTCTGTGAGTATCCCAAGCAGGGGCAGCACGGAGCATCCCACTCAGTGACTGAGTTTCTCAGAAGAAGAAACTAAAATTCAGTAGGTAAAACAGAATTTGGATTCCTTACTGAAAAAGTAGCTCCTAAGGGTTACAAGTATTCAGAGTTCATGGAAAAGCCACGTCTTACTACAGGCCTGAAATTCTGTAGAACTATCCCTGGTTGTGTGACTCATTTTTAGGAGGTGGTATGGCTGAGGCATGAAAATAACAAAAAGTTGGATTTGAGAGCTGGAAACTTTTTCTATTAAAATAAAGGTCAGCGCAAAGTGTTGATCAGTGAGGGAGCTACCACGTTCCAGAACCCAATGTGCAACGTGTCATTGGTGTCTGCAGAGTCTTCTTGGTTCATCTCTGTATCCTGGTTTAGGCTATCAGTTACTTTACCACTATAGGAAATACTGTTGGGGCCAGCAGGTAGCGTAGTGTTTAAGGTGCTGGACTTCAGCATGGTCGACTATGGTTCAAGGCCTGGACCCGGCAGCTTGAAACTCATGTTGGGCATGTGTGTGTGCCAAAAATCCTGAGAAGAGAATGGAAGACAAGGGATTGTGGCATGGCCATCCTCCCTGGAGGGGGGCGGTGTGTGATATTTTGCTTTCTGTCTCTACCTTTGTCTCTCAACGCACCACCCTATAGCAAAAATCTCTCAAAAAAAAAAAAATTAAAAATTAAAGAGTGAGAACTAAAACTTTTTGTTTTTATAACAATTTTAAATTTTTAAAATAGTTTTCATCTGGTATGATAAATATATTACAGAATAAGGATCCTTTATCCAAAATGTTTGGGACCAGAAATGTGTCCAATTATTTTGGATTTGGGGATATTTGTTTATACATGAAGTATCTTGGAGATGGGACCCAAGTCTAAATATAGAATTCACTTGTTTCATATATATACATACAGCCTGGGGGTAATTCTATTCAGTATCTGTGTATTCTACTTGTCATGTCATCGTGGTACTCACAGTTCTGGATTTGGAAACATTTTTAATTTCCAGGTTAGTAATGTTTAAACCTGTACCTCAGTTTAGAGATAGAAGACGGTATTTACACAGCATATACAGCTTTGACTTCCAGTAACCCCACTCAGGTTTACAAAGCAGCCAAAAGAACAATGTTAGGTAGAACATAACGCCACTTCTCAGTAACTGAAAGCTAGGATTCAGTCCCATGTTACTTTGGACCCTGACTATAAATAAATCCTTGAGGAAGTGTTCAATTATAATGGGTTGTTAAAAGCAGTTTCTAACACGCTTTCTTCTTTTAGGTGTTCAGTGGAATCACACTTACAAAATTTGGAGGAATTGTGGTATTGGCCTTTGCAAAATCTCAGATTTTCCAGATATTTTACTTCAGGATGTATTTAGCTATGGTGTTACTGGGAGCCACTCATGGATTAATATTTCTCCCTGTCTTACTCAGTTACATAGGTAAGAGTTCTTACTAACAGGTGGATTGGAAAGAGGAAGCACGTTACTTAAAATTTTCTTGAAGTGTTGTTCTACTGTATTTGAATTTGTACTACTAATAATATGATAGATAATACTGGGTAAAGAAGTTCTTTTTAAGACAGAAAAAAAAAAAATTCTTATCTAGGGTTTTACTATTATCCAAACTATCTCATTAGTAAACTGCTAACTATTTTCTGGGGACCTGACTTGTCTGCTTCACCACAGCCTGAGGTCAGACCTTGATTGCCTGTCAGCAGCAGGTGCAGGAGGCTCCTCCCCGCCATGGAGGGAGATGCCTGCCGACATGGCCAGCTGGTCACAGCCCAGCACTGCTGTGGAACAGCCTTTACTTGCCTGGTAGATGTACATGGCCCTGGGGTTGAGACTACTCTTAGGATCTTTTTACTTCTGTGGCCTCATCAACTGGCGCAAATGACCTGTGGTTGGAAGATCAGTAATCATTTGCTTGATTTTATAACCCTGCAGCTAAGCTGAAGGTTGAAATAAAAGACTGAGAAAATGAAGAGATTTTTTTTCCTCCATCTCTGGGGAATAGAAACTACTTTGTTACAACCTGGTACACCTTTTCTGAAGAAATAAAAAAAAAAAATTATTCTTTCTGTCATAGGACCATCAATAAATAAAGCCAAAAGTCGCACCACTCAAGATCGATACAAAGGTACAGAGCGAGAACGACTCCTAAATTTCTAGCCCTCTTCCTGAGTTTGGTGACTCTGAACTACGTCTGAGGGTTGATGTGACCACTGGACAGCAGCTGCATCACCAAGGCTATTTAACATCAGCAGCTTTGGACATAGCGCTTTTAAACTCAGGAATGTATGTCTGACTTGTGAAGCAGTATTACTAAATTGGACAGCAACCACAGGACGCTAAAGCCTCTCCCAGCTTCTTAGGAAAGAAACCTCATTCTTCAGCAAGTGGGAGGTGACACCAGAATGGCTGTGAACATGATCTGCTCAGTGACACTTTTTAATGGCCAGTCAATGCACTGTCTCCTGTTTTTAGGAGTAAGCCATCACACAAGTTCTATACCATATTTTTAGTAACATTTAAGGATATTGTAGATACACTTTATTAAAACATTTTGTAGTTTAAAGAGCTTTATTAATGCAATAAATTAACTTTGTACACATTTTTTATATATAAAAAAAAAAAACTAGCAAGTAATTTCAGAACGTGGTAGGCCTCATTAGAGCTTGGTCTCCAAAAACCTGTTTGAAAAAGGCAACATGTTCTTCACAGTGTTCACCTGTAAAGGAAAATACAGATTTCAACAACATTAGGTGTGGCAAGGAGAGAGGAAAACGAGAATGTAGGTCATAGGTGTGTCTACTGAGTTTTAACTTAATAAAAGTCATTGTTTTCTTAAACTTTTGGGTTGCCTGCTCTTTTGCTAAACTGCTACCTTTCACAATCCCTAGGCTAGTTGCCATCTGCTTTGAGTGACAAATGAAAAGTTAAAAGGAAGAGATTCTAACATGTCATTATGGTGATGACAATGGCACTGTACACTACAGACATAAAATAGTCAAGAGTCCGGGCCAGCCAGCACTGTGGTGGTTAAGGAGGACGAATCCCACATAGCCAACTATACACAGTTCGAGTCCTCAGCCGCCTGATTTCATGCCAAGCACATGTGCATGCATACCCAAAATTCCAAGAGGAAAAGGGACTGTAGCATGGTCATTCCCACATAGTGGGTGATTTCTCACTTTCCCTGTCCCTGCCCCCTTCCATTCTCTCTCTCTGGCTTTTCCCCAGGAATGCACACCCCATAACAAACTTTAAAAAAAAAAAAAAAAAAAGAATCTGATTAAAATGTTCCAACCCACCCACATGGTGCTCAGCTCACACCACTGCATGGAGGCCCAGGTTCACTTCCTAGGTCAGCCTGAACATGCCAAGTGCAGTTACACATGCCTGTAATCCTAGCTAACTGGAGGCTGAGGCAGAAGGAGGGCAACAAAGCAAGACCTTCTCAAAAATACTTCTCTTTTCCCTACCCTTCCTCTCTCATAAAAGGAAAAAAAAGAAAATTCTGTTCCTTTCCATCCTAAAGATGTTTTAGGGCCAGCCAGTGGTGTGGTGGCTAAGGCATCTGGATCCCACATGGCCAACTGTGTAGTTGGGGGACTTGGTGGCTTGAAAAAAATCACACCAGACACATGTGCACGTGTGCTTAAAATCCTGAAAGGGAGAAATGGAGGACTGTGGCATAACCGTCCCCCATGGGGGTGGGGGTTGCTTGCTAGCTTTCTCTCCCTGTCTAGCAAGTGCACATACTCTCTGGGAAAAAAAAAAAAAAAAACCTAGATTTTATAATTACCTGAAGATGAGGGAATTAGCCAGCATTTCCTGCATACAACTAAAGCACTGTTAATAAGCCCCAGGCCATTTAAATCCTTTAGCTGTCTTACTCCTGATATTCCAGAACAAATATTTCCAGATCAACTGTGTCAGACACAGGCTATGATGTTCAGACTGTCTGAATCCAGTCCTGAAGACTTTTGACCCAAAACATTCTTCCATCACTGTTGAGTTCCAAAGCACAACAGATTTCCATCAGCATACCAAATTCAGTCTACTACAGATAATGGGCTGGGTGGGCTGTTTTGAATTAAAAGCTAACTCAGGAGTCCTTACTAAAAAGCTTTGGCTTTGGGGCCAGCAGGTGGCATGGCAAGTAAGGTGTTAGACTCCCACATGGTCAACCATGGTTGAATCCGGACCTGGTGGCTTGAAAATCATTCCAGGCGCATTGAGTGCCAACCCAAAATCCCAAGAGGAGAATGGAGGAGAAGGGATTCTGGAGTGGCCATCCCACCCCAGAGGTGATTTCTCACTTTCCCCCTCTTTGTCTGTCTCTAGTAAGCATATACCCCCTTTGCCAAGAACCTTAAAAAAAAAAAAGGCTTAAGCTTCTTGCCCAGGGCACACTTGCTACTTTTTGAGTCTGTGTTTTTTTCATTGCTACTTTTCTCACCTGGTGTGAAATTGGGATTCCCTCGCAAACGCTGGTTTCGCTGTTCAAAAAACCGGAAGATGGTATAGAAAAGCATGTTGTCTTCAGTTTGCTTTGCAGCATCTAAAAATTTTCGCGCTGAAATGTTGTCATGGCCACCGATGCCCCGGATAAACCTTAAGGCAGCTAACACTTGGTGTTTGGAAAGCAGCACTTCTACAATTTCATCATTTGCTGTTGAAAGTCGCTGTAAGTAAGGAGAGAGAAGTCCACGTAAATGCAAGCAAGAAGAGACCTTTATACAGTCTACAACTTTGATTTATCAGTTACCTTCAACATATCCAGGGACAGTTGATGAGCAGGAGGATAAAAACTTTCTAGGGATAATAGCAGACAAGCCTGAAAGACAAATTTCAGACTAGCTTCAGATGGAAGGTGAAAACCAAGTTCCTGATACAACAGAAGTAGTCTGTGACACATACCAAAGGTTTGGAGTCACTGAGGACGTGGTACTGCAGGAACTGATGCAGCATATAGAAGAGGTTGTGCTGGACCAGCGTTTTAATAACAAGCTCGTGTAAGTAATGCTGAGGACAAAAGCAGAAAGGAGTAAAAAGTTCCAAACCAATCAACCACAAGGAACCAGAGGCTAGCTGCGGACAGCAGCTGTTCTAACCAAACAGAAGTTTGTCATTAGATGTGGTTTCACTGTGCAAGTAAAAGAACCCAACTTGATGTTACCCTTCTCATCCCAACCAAAAATAACCGGGGGG